AGAGAGAGAGAGAGAGAGAGAGAGAGAGAGAGAGAGAGAGAGAGAGATAAATGCAGCATTTCTGAGATCGTTGCGATGTTTTGGGATTGAGAGACATTGCATCACATAACGAAACTGCCAATTGTATACGTGACATCGCGATGCCGCGCGTGGAGTGCATCGCAAATATTGAATTCGCAGGATTTGTTGCACAATACGCTGCGACGCCAGAACGGTTTTGATCCTGACGCATCGTTATAGACCGCAGTGAGAAATTAGAGATGTGTGATTTTCTGCTATACCATACCATATGGTAATGAGTGTTATTCAATAATATTAGCAATTATAAATATGGTATATAAATGACACACATAGTATTTCATTCACAATATACATATAATATACCGTCAAGGAATATTATTTTATCACATTACGAATTACAAAAGAATTATTGTACGAACTAAGATGGAATATAGAAAAACATCTAATTATAAATACTTTTGTTAAACGCTTGTTTTAAGAGATATATTAAATTTAAAAGTAATCATTACAGTTTTTTTACTCTTTCTATTTTTACCATTATACTCTTTCAGACAGATGTTGCTATTGATATCCTCTAATTTCATATAATTAACTTACAATTTTTTTATCTTTATATAAAAGACATTTAATAAACAATTCTCTCTCGAAATATTTATTTCAAAGAAAAGTATTATAGAACATAAATATTTTATGCAACGTCTTTTTAAACTGTCACTTTTCAGAATATTGTGTGTGTATTTATATTATATATGTATACATGGTGTATTCAGAAAAATATTTACACTGTTACACACTCGTAATGTTAAATTATATTCAATTTGAATACTTTTAATAATTTCTATAAATCACTATTTCTACTCAATATGTCGTTAATTTAATTAAAATTAATTCAATCTATAGTTACTCTATTTATTAAATATATAATACATATCTTAATATAGACGTTGTTTAAGTTGATTAACAACAAAAATGCATTTTTATATTTTGATACACATAAAAGTTAAAAATAACAGAATATTATTTAACTTAACGGATCGGATTACCGTTGTTTCTTTGATGTATAACACAGTGCAAAGTTTTAAATCTTTCTTGTTTTAGTGAAAATGAGTAATGCTTTTCCTATTTCGAGTCAGTAAGTTTCAATATGAGAATTTAATGTATCATAACGGAAGAAACATCCGAAATGCAAAGGTTCAAGCACCGCGAGACGAAAGATGATACCATATTTAAGAGAGTTTTTTCATCTCTCAAGAGTTGTGTTTATTTAAATAGAACGCTACAGCTTTTGTGTTTGTTATTCATAATTATGGCCAACAAGAAATTCAATTAAATTTGTTTTAACATTTTTGTGTATTATAATTTTTAGCATCACATTTAAATGATAAAAATCTAGAAATTCGAAAACTGTCGTCGCTAAATACAATTATTTTGGATGTAAAATATTATATAAATAAAAGATACATTTCATTTACAGCAGATGAAGATTGTAAGCTACGTATAAATCTTGTATTAATCGATTCTGAGAGTCAAGACTTTTAAATAAGATGATTCACAAACTCTCTCTCTCTCTCTCTCTCTCTCTCTCTCTCTCTCTCTCTCTCTCTCTTCGAAATACCATAATGTTCAAACACTAGCAAGAAGTTTCTATTTTGCTAAGAAATTTCACAGCTACTTTGAAATTTAAGTGAATACTTTCGCATTTTTTCTTTGATATCATAGCCAAAGAAAGAGAACTGAGATCCTTAGATCTGTAGTTTCTTATTTAAGCTACACGAATCGTATAAAAGAAGTACAGGAAAGATATTCGCCTTTCACGCGTTTGCTATTTCTGCAATTTTTGATATTTGAATATAAAAAGATAGATAGAAAAATTGCACATTTGTATAATTTTAAAATTGAAAATTTTTATTAAGAAATATCAGGGTTTGCGCATTCATATCACTAACTATGTACTTATTCTTGGATGATTTCGAGATATTAATGTCACGACACGTTTCCCTCATAGCGTTGCGCCACTGAAATAAAAGATATCGTCAGCACGTAGCTTGCTACACGTCAAAAAGATTTTAAAGAATACTAGCCTCACCTCCGGCAAGCTTTGCGGAAATTAGAGAGAAAACAGAGAAATATGCGAAAAGATTAGGAGGGGAGGAAAAGAAAGCGGTCTCTCTCTCTCTCTCTCTCTTTCTCCCCTTTGCCCTGTCACCCCCTCCCTCTCTCTCTCTCTGCGGTAAACGAAACTAAAGAAACTGATGGAAAAAACGTTGTAACGCAGTACGCAAAACCAGGTCATCCTTTTAAATCGAGCCACCAATTGTCAGCGTTAATTGAGTAGTAAGGAAAAAAATGGGACATGACGTATTTGTGGGAAAAACGGTTCATAACGAATAAAATTCGTTATCCTCCCATCATAAAATTCCGACATAATCGATATACCATGAATTTCTCTCTGGTGCTATAGAACGGAGGATATATAACATGTGAGTCTATTGATTGCGTATATCAAGTGAAAAATGGATATTTCAGAAAAATTTCGGGAAAAGCTACACACCTTCTTCCAGTCCAATGCTTCTGCAAACGATGGTTTTCCATAAATATTTAATTGATTTAGCATCAATAAATGTTCGGAAAATGCAAACATGTAGTCAAATACATATAGCATATAGCATATTATTATCATCAATAATACAAGCGTGATAATATTAATATTGCTAGTAATCCAAGAACTCTCTTTCGCATATAAATTTTTAACTAAATCGATGTTTATTTAACGAAAATTCGATCTTGGTAATCTTTTACTATTTGGAATATTAAATATACTTTTTCCTAAATTATATTAAATCAATATAAAATAATGTTAATTGAAAAATATGATTTTATAAATTTAAAATGTTTTTATTTTTCTTAATAAAAATTTTACTTTAAATTTCTTTGTAAAAATAATCAAATACTTTTGAGGTACTCTTTATATTTAAAGAGAGTAGTCTCATCAATCTAAAAAATCGTAAAAATTAAACGACAAAAATTAAGCTTAAAAGTGTAGTGAAATTAGCACCTTTCTAACAAATCGTCGTAAAAATTGCAGCTCTGTGACGTTAAAATAAGGGTAGTATTTTTTAATGGAAAAGCATGTCGGACATGTAAATGTGATAAGTTTCAAGAATAATTCGAATGTGGCTACGAAAATAAAAATAGATGAGAACGATATAACATTTCGTAAATTAATTAAATTAATTAATTAAATTCCTGCTGTTTGTTTGCACATACTGATACCAGTAAATAATTGAACTAATTAAAGGTAAACTAAAATTATGTCCCTAGCTGTTTCGACATTTACACATATTTAATTTCTACTTCTATTCTCTATTTCCGATAATGCGACAATTACACACATTACAAAATAGTTTATATATTTAGAAAATTAAACTCTCGCCGGTATTTCAATATTTGATATTGATGTATATAATATATATATTTTTTACATCTTTAGACTGCACATTACGTGATGGAAAATTTTGGATTTGAGTAAACTGCCTACGTTATCGATAAATAACTCTAGCCAAATGCACGAATTCGTGCATACGCGAGCGTACGTGTAATAAATGTCCACCTGTACACCGCGCTTAGAAACGACCGCGTAAACGCCGCTATAAGTACATTACGAGCACCATCAGTGTTATAAATGCACTCACGCCGTCTAGTACTTTGTAGAAGCACGGAATATTTCGCATGACGTAATTGACCTCGTAGTAGCGAGTAGTGAATGCCTTACGTGCACTGAAATTAATATATTTATATTAACAGCGAGTACCTATTCCGTTTTTTTTTTAACAATGACGTGATCACAGTAATCCAGTAAAATGGCAACCCAGATTTATTGCTACATCTAAATACTAGCAGAACGTTTTGAGCAAAATTGAATGTAGACCATTCGTTACATATATTTACGTTTCTAGTTTATATTTTTACAATTACATTGTACAATATTATTTTTATCAATTAGACGACGAAATAATACACAATATCCAAAAACTTTTATTCTGCATTTATCAGCTAAAAGGTTGGAATGCTTTTTTCAATGGGTTTCGGAACTCAGCCTTGTTCATAGAAATAGAACGGTTGAATCTAAATGGTTACAGCTATAAGTAAAAACCAATCACACAAGCTGCATTCCGAAACCCATCGAAAAAAAGTGTTATAACCATTTAGCTGATGAGTGTACATACTACAGTTACAATGTACAAAATGTCAATTAAATACTAAATATTAAATTAAATATTTCAAATTGTTTTCAGAAACTCTTAAGAAAAGATGAGAGAGTTTCTACTAGAAATTTTTGATAAAAACTTAACACAATGTATTCACTTACGAATAATGATAATATAATGATCAAAAATGATAATTAAAAAATTAATAATAGTCAAAATAATATGACAAATCTTTCGCAGTGACCAAATATTATTAAATATGTGCAAAAGATTAAATATTTAAAATATTGACAAAATTAAAGAAAAGTTTCTAGCCTTCGGTTTTTCCTCTTTTTCATTTTCTGAAAAATTTTCAAAGAGCTTCGGTTTTAATTTTACTTAATCCTAGAACATTATTGTACGTATGTTTATATATACAAGTGAACGCTAAACTATGCTTCAGTGGTCAATAGAGGTTCCAACCAATTTACCATGTTAAAAGCTAAAGCCAAATTGAGTACCATTTTAGTACCATCCACCAAAGCGTAAACAAGCTTTTAAAAATTTAGTCTGTTATATATCGATTTCAATCTCTTGGCAATCAATATTATAACAGAGAGCGTGATAAGCAATTTGTAAACAATTTTATGTTATACATATATCTATTGTATTTTATTGATATATAAGGTAAACTGCTCAATAACTGACCACGTACCAGTGAATGACCATTACATAAAGAAATGTAAATTATAGGCTCAAAAATTATTAAATGTTTCGAAACGGAGTTTATTTATACCTTTTGGATCTTCACTTAACGATGATATGCAAACAGTAATAAATCGAATTCTTATTAAAAATATTCCAGATTATATAGTCCGTCACTATATACATTCAGAAATTGCTCAAATTTTACTAAATTGCTAGTAAAAACTCGACTTTAAAAACTACATTATAGTAATAATATTTATTATTTTTTTATATAAACTGAACAACAATGAGCAAAAATAATAATTAATTATTAATATCGATTTTAAATAAGGTAAAAATAAGTATAAATATTAATTTTTAGATTTTCTGTCGGTCATTTTTAGGTATTGAATACGAAAGTGCTTTGCCGGTAAATGACCAATCTGTCAAATTTTAACAAGTCGGATCCAGTTAATGACTGCGTGTTATTTGAGGTCAGTTTATTATATATATATATA